GCCAAAAAAATAAAAAAGATATTATCTCTCTTAACTGTCATTGTCATTTTTTTATTATATTAATTATTATTTGCCACTATTCCAATCATTTGATTTTTTTAAAAGTTAATATATTTAAAAAAAAAGTTACTCAAAAAATTAACATTTAATGAATAATTATCTCTATTTTTCTTTATCGTACACAAATACGATCTTTTTTCTCATGTTGAAACCAAGAAGTTTTAACGTAAAACTTGTTAATTATAATCGCACAAGAAATATCTGTCTTTATTTTATTTTTAAAAGTAAATTATTGCATAAAAAATAATTAATTATAAAAAATAATTTGTCATTTTAAAAGTATATCAGATAAACTTTAAAAATTGATAAATCCAGCAACAATAAGTATTTGAAATACATTGTACAATGAAGTTTCGAGATGTAAATGTGAGGTTGACTTCGAGTTGACTCTAATTAATTCTGTCATTTCATCACTACTCATGCGACAGTGATGAAATTTTGTTGAAACAAAGAACAAGTAAAGTCAGAGATTTATATATCATCTCGTGAATCATATAAGGAGAAAAATTCTCGGAATTAAATCCTTTCGCCTCTCTCTTTCTCATACCGTTTTATGCTCGTTCAAATGCACTCGCATAATTTACATTATCCTGCCCGCTATTTCCGTAATGATGAACTACTCGGCGCTCTAACACATTTAACGATAACGATAACACATTTAGCGTTGTCGATTCATGAAATTCAAAGAGACTTTATTTACTAGCTAAATACAAATAAAAGAGCCTCTACATGTAATATTTATTGAGAAATCGTACATGAGCAAATTTAGTTTTTTCTCTGACGAATTTTAACGTAAAACGTAAACGATATTGTTTCTAACAATGACTCAAGTATTGCCGAAATCATGTCTTTTAACAAGTAAAAGCAAAATATATACCCGAAATGTATATACATTATACATACATGTGTACATTGAAACACGTTTGAATATTTTACTTTGTTTATTATACTATTTATTTATTTAATGTGTTATTCAATCAATTGATCAACACTTTATTTCTGATGTAATGAGATTTTTATATTACTACCATTGTTCAATTACATTTTTGCACGTATCGTCGTCAAAGGTCTCGCCACATTTGGTAATTATCTTTTAATAATTACCATTTATGAGTTATGAGTAAAATCTTTAAAATTATAAAATATAAAATTAAATATAACACAAAATAAGAAAACGAGCAAGCAAGCTCATTCTTACTGGTCCGCGCTCGTCGGTCAATGGTCGACAAAATATCCAATAGGACGTTGACTTGAATATCGAGTATCTTTAAGTATGCGTCTATAGGGCTTCGTTAAACATATACTTGTGCCGCGATACCGACGATATCCGTCGAGATATCGTTTCTCGTGCTACATGCGTGCTACGTTATAATCTTCGATTACATGTAAAATAGCGTGCACAAAAAATTACAGTTGCTGTGTAAAATAAGTCAGAAATTATGCCCGTTCGATTAAACTACCTGCATTTTGATGTGAAATAGTCACGTTATTGTAATCATCTGAATCTAACTGAATATCTAAATATGTGTTAAGTATCAGTGATTTCGATAGCATATAGAGACAAAAATTATTATTCTTTTTCAATATTAAAAATATAAAATGGTTTACATATTTTACGTATTTTGTTTTAATACGCAAATAACACATCAGTATTATCTGAAATGTTCTATTAAATGTGCGAGAAGTTTTAGCTACGGAGAAAAGAAATACTCAATCGAGATTCATTTCAACACATAAATTTGTGTTTTATTAAGAGGCTAGATTAGATGTCAGACGTTATAATTTATTAGGTATTTTTTTCGTTATATCTCGATCTTAAATCGAATAGCAAGGTCGGAGCTTGATCGGATGAAATTCGATATTTGCGATCGAACTGAATACGATCAAGAAGAGACCGGATCATCTTCCCAGAATTATTCTCACATGTCCATTCCATTTCCGGCTATTAATGTCGTTAATTCGTTTGCAATCTCCGTTATTAATATATGAGCGTTCCATCACGTCACGTTAACTGAATAAACTACCAATATTTGTACGCGTCGATACACGTTTCTATCAATAGAAACCGACCGAAATGCTCGCACGCATGCTCGGCTTGCAAAGCAAAAGAATGCAAGTATAAGCTGGCTATAAACATTCAGCTCTCTTTAAAGAAAACTTACGAAATATAAAAATAAGTTAAATCAAATTAAAAAGATAAATATCTATCATCTATATCATTATAGATATTTAGCACACAGCATTTGAGTATGTACATAAAATGATTTCTCAATTCATTTATTCGAATATTAATATTTTAATATTAATAAATTTTAATATTAATAAAATAAATATAAATCATTTATACAAAATTACTACACTTTTTGTCGTAACACTGAATTTACTGTATACATAATGTATACATAAGCTTTTCACGTTTTTTTCCAATGGTCATGAAATAAGTTGAAAATTTCAAATAGATTTATGTAATTTTGTAATTTTAGAATTTGCTTTTCTCGTTACAATGCAAATACATATGTCATTGATAATTTTAAATTTGCTCTCTTCTGCCAATCTTCCGGATGTACATATATAAATATTTCTCGTGAGTCGCTCCAAATTTCGTAACCGATGCTCAATATTACACGATGTTATTTTATTGAGGCCGCGTTTAAAGTATTTAACTACCGTGAAATATGAAATTATATTGTCTACAGAGTAATTTAGCACCACAATGAAGAAACTAGAGTTGATCACTGGAATCGCTTTCTTTCGTATTAAATGACACTATAATTTCTTCATTGACTAATTGACATCATAGTTTGTTGGTCTGATATATAAAGAAAAGAAAAAATCACGTTTATACCATATATAATCAAATCAATGCTACGTAAATTATTATTCAATATTACGTAAATATTTGAATACAATTTGCAAAAAATTATAAAATTACATTATGGACAATTTCCGTGCAAGTTACAAGTCTGACATTTTTACTTTTCTCTCGGTACGCGCCAGCGATTCGAGTACGATAAGAAGGTTGAAGGAAATACCGTCGCGTTGGGTCGAGCGCGAGAACTTGAGTCAGTAATTTAGAAAGGAAGTAATGTGTAACGGGTCGAACAAAATTGTTAATTAAGAAGACTCTGCGCCCAATAACTAGCGAAAATATATTTGTCACGTCGTGTCGTCGTGTCGTCGCGCCGTGGCGAGTCGTCCTAATAATTATGCGGTTACGCAAGTCTTACGAGTTACACAGATAAATTTCTGAATTCATTAAACCACGCATCTAAAACGCATCTGGTGTAATCATGATATGCAGATGCATGATATTCGCATTGATTTCCTTGATTTTCTTATTGGTATCAAGCGTATACTTGTACCGTTAATAAGATACATTCTAACAATCATAATCTGAGCTCGATAAGCAGATTCGCGCATAAGTCTTGAATGAGATTTCCGGAAATCGTTGTGCATAATTCGTTATCGACCCTTCTATTAAATATATTATTTGTCCATCGTAGAAATAATAACTACAATTTATATCTGAGAACTGCCTATGAATATTTTACTCACTCGTTCGTTTTTACCCACCAACCGAGTGAGTGGGTAGATTTATAACCACAGGATATTTTCGCCCACGTACGAAATTCTATTCGAATGTATTTATATCTCATATTTAGCGCAGAATGATCATCGAAACGTTTAATCGTTAATCTGAGATTGTGTGTGTATACGTGGCATTCGTACAAGATAAATAAAACTTGAAACCGTTTCTTTTGCTTTTATATTACCGGTAACGCGCGTTTCAACGTGCTTTTCTTTCGCAGTAAATTTTATTAGTACGTCTAATTAACGTTAGTACGTTAACTTATTAAATTTAACTTTACTAAAGTACTCTCTCTCTCTCTCTCTCTCTCTCTCTCTCTCTCCCTTTCTCCTTCTTCTTTTAGCGATCTCTGTTCCGTTACTGTTCTGTGAAACTGTGAATTCTCTTTCAGAGATCTTCGATTTAACAGTATCACAGAGGTGCGCGCGGGATCGTTTCACGGATTGAATAAACTGCACACCCTGCTGTTGAATGACAATCACATCCGACGACTGCCGATGGGCGCGTTCGAGGGCGCGCCGAATCTACGGATACTCTACTTGTACAAAAATCGCATCGAGCATATCGCGCCGGGTGCGTTCGCGGGGTTGTCACGGCTCGAGCAGTTGTATCTGCATCACAACCACCTACGAGAGGTCCGATCGGGCACGTTCAACGATCTGCCGGTGCTGGAGCGTCTGTTTCTGCACAATAACAAGCTTCACCGATTGCCGGCCGACGCGTTCGTCAATGTCGGTCCGATGACGCGGCTGCGTCTCGACAGCAACGCGCTCATCTGCGACTGCAATCTAGTCTGGCTGGTGGAACGCCTGCAGGACAGACCTATGGAGATGGCGGCAATTTGCCAATCTCCGCACAAGATGAAGGGTCGCTCTCTGACAACGATGTTACCCGAGGACTTTCATTGCAGTTGAGTAGAAAGCAGCACCTTTCCGATCGTTTCGCGACCGTAATCGCTTATCCATCATCCGATTGACCAGAAGACGACAAATCAAAAGCTATATAACTTATTCTTTAACATTTTATTTTGTTCATTATTACGCATATCGATTTCGATATTATACTTGACATATTTGACTAAAGATGACTTAATATCGATCAATTATCGATCATCGTGCTCGTTGACACGTCGTCCAAGTCATCGAGCTGCTGCATCTCGTCGAATATCATAAAGTTTCCAAAATTATATTATTATCATCTTTCTCTGGGAGGATTATTTAACGTTTTTATAAATAAAATCACGCTTATCTTTGCGTTATCCGTGGCGAGAGATATGAGAGCTCACAGACAAAATAAATAAATGAACGATGTACCGTATTGGGAGAAATATTAAAAGAAATATAAAAAAGAAAAACGCGAAAACAAATACTCTCACGTTTATCCATCCGTATGATTTTTCTTCAAAATCTCAATCATTCTCAATCATTCAAAAACCTTTTTCTTCACAGCAAAACCGCGCATCTTGGAAGGCCCGGAAGACACTATGGTACGATTCGGCGACACGATGACGTTGACTTGCCGAGTAACGGGTGATCCGATGCCGAAGATCAAATGGATGAAGAATAGATACGAATACTCGTGGGAAGTGGATGACGATAGCGAAAAGTACGTGATCCATGAGGATGGCGAAAAATATGTGATTCGCAAAGACGGTACCTTGGTGATCACCGGCACGACCGAACAGGACAGCGGGATGTACGAATGCGTGGCCAGCAGCGACATGGGCTCGACCAAATCCAGAAAGGCTAGAGCGGTGATTACGGCGGCGTCCCGGTTAATACTCGCCGAAAGGCCGGAATCACAAAACGCGAGCGTCGGCACCAATGTGACATTCTCCTGCCGAGCTTTGGGTAATCCCAAGCCAGATGTCCGTTGGTTTCGAGACGGCCGAACGATCCCCTTTGGCGACAGGATCTCACTCGAAAACGATGGTACCTTGCTGCGCATCATCGCGGTTAAGGAAACCGACACGGGCAAATACGAGTGTTACCTCAGAAGCATCGATCACATGGTCCATCTCTTCGCGGATCTGAAGGTTGTCGATTTCACCGCTCCCCGGTTGTTGTTCAGACCGCAAGACATGGAAGCGGAACCAGACGCTACAGTCGAGATGCCTTGCCGGGCCGAAGGTACACCAAAGCCGGAGATACAATGGAAGAAGGACGGTAGCACGCTGGAGAGCAATAGAGTCAAGATTACACGCGGTGGGAGTCTTCTCATTTTTAACGTTACTCTGCAGGATTCCGGCAGGTAAGATTCAAAATTGGAGATTGTGATCTTAACCACGTCGACATTGATCATCATCACCTTTGCTTCCAATAATTTAATAATTTGAAAAAATCAATGCATGTATACATTTATTACATTACAGTATAATTATTAATTCGATTGTATATAAAATCTTTGGCTACGTAAAAGCATTAAAAGTTTAAAATGCTAAAAATACAAAATCGTTAATGTAATAATAAAAATCGACCCATCGATATCGAGCCATCATCAATCTCTTGTACATGCAACATAAGGATTTGTTATCTTCTTTGTACAGATACGAATGTTCGGCGGTAAACGATTATGGTCGCGCAACTGCCGATGCTCTGGTGCGCGTTCGGCAGCCGGATGGGACACAGGATACACTCGTCATACGAGCCTTCCAAAGTGCCACCGAAGAGATCGATCGTGCCATCAACAAGACACTATTGTCCCTTTTCAATCCCGACGGCTCATCCAAACACGTTAATCCGTTTCGGCTGTCACGGTTTCCAAACGCGATCGGTCGCGCGGCCGCCAGACCCGCCGAACTTTTTGAGAGAACTCTCGTCAATATCCGACGTATGGTAGACGCTGGCAATAAGGCAAACGTCACCGGCGAATTTCGTTACGAAGAAATCCTAACATTCGAGCAGGTAAAATTAGTAGGCTCAAATCTCTCTCTCTCTCTCTCTCTCTCTCTCTCTCTCTCTCTCTCTCTCTCTCTCTTTCTCGCGTTATACGTGTAAAATTACGCGCGTCCTCCTGTTTCAGGTGAAGGAAATCGAACGATTGTCTGGATGCACCGGTCATAGACGTCGGCAGAACTGCACCAATAGATGCTTTCATCACAAGTACCGAACCATAGATGGTAGTTGCAATAATCTACGCCATCCCACTTGGGGCTCGTCGTATACAGGCTTTCAAAGAATACTGCAACCCATCTACGAGAATGGTTTCTCGACACCGGTTGGTTGGGAGAAAGAACGACGGTACTATGGGTATCCGAAGCCCGCCGCACGCCTCGTGTCAACTACGCTCATCTCCACTCACGACATTACATCGGACAATCAGATTACCCACATGGTGATGCAATGGGGTCAGTTTCTGGATCACGATCTCGATCATGCGTTACCATCAGTGTCGAGCGAGTCGTGGGATGGAATCGATTGCAAAAAATCCTGTGACAACGCCGCGCCCTGCTTTCCGATGGAAGTACCGCCTGGTGATCCACGTATCAACAACAGACGGTGCATCGACTTTGTCAGAAGCAGTGCCGTGTGTGGTTCCGGCGCGACTAGTTTACTGTGGGGTGATTTGATGCCTCGGGAACAACTTAATCAACTAACTAGCTACTTGGATGCGTCGCAAGTCTACGGCTACAACGACGAGTTGGCGCGCGATCTGCGCGATCTCACAACGGACCGCGGATTGCTTCGGGAGGGTCCCACGATCCCTGGTCACAAGCCTCTCTTGCCTTACATGTCTGGCCAGTTTGTTGATTGCCGTCGGAATACACTGGAAAGTTCGATAAACTGCTTCGTCGCTGGTGACATTCGAGCAAACGAGCAAGTCGGTCTGTTGGCCATGCATACAATATGGTTGCGTGAACACAACCGCATCGCTCGCGCGCTACGCGACATGAACCCACACTGGAATGGCGAGAAGTTGTATCAGGAAGCCAGACGTATCGTCGGCGCTGAAATGCAACACATCACTTACCGGCACTGGTTGCCACGGATATTTGGCTCGGCCATCGACAATCTTCTGCCGCCGTACCGAGGCTACGATCCCAATATCGACGCCAGCATATCCAACGTCTTCGCTACTGCCGCTTTGCGTTTCGGTCATTCGCTCATCCAACCGCGTCTCGAGCGTTTAAACGCTTCCTTTCGGTCGATTCCTCAGGGTCCTCTCGATTTGCGAGATGCCTTTTTCGCACCTTGGCGACTGGTAGAAGAAGGTGGGGTCGATCCGCTGATCAGAGGTATGTACGCTACGGCGGCAAAACTAAAGCTGCCCGAGCAAAATCTCAATGTCGAGCTTACTGAGCAGCTGTTCCGTACCGCACACGCGGTCGCGCTGGATCTAGCGGCGATGAACATTCAGCGGGGGAGAGATCACGGACTTCCCGGCTATCTGGAATGGCGCGATTATTGCAACATGCCGCGTGTAGAAACGTTTGAACATCTTGCTGGCGAAATCAGCAGCGGTCGAGTACGGCAGAAACTGCGTGAATTGTATGGCCATCCGGGCAACATAGATGTTTGGGTCGGCGGTATTCTGGAGGATCAGTTGCCGGGAATGAAGATCGGATCGCTGTTTAAGTGTCTTCTGCTCGAACAATTCCGACGAACTCGGGACGGCGATCGATTCTGGTACGAGAATCCCAGCGCCTTTCGACCGGAACAGCTTGCGCAGATCCAACAAATATCGCTAGCTAGAATCTTGTGCGACAATGGCGACAACATCACTCGCGTACAACCCAACGTGTTCCTATTGCCCGAAGGTCGTAATAACTTTGTCAGTTGTGACGAGATTCCTTACGTGGATTTGACCGTGTGGTCCGATTGCTGCGACAATTGTGAGGATCGCGACAATACCATCTCTCGTGTACGCAGAGAAGTTGAGAAATATTTTGCTCCCAGTCGCGATCATGTCAAAGACATGGACAAGTTGAGTCACGATGAGAAAGTTAAATACTTACAAAGAATGTTTGAAGAAAGCGGTCGAGAGGCTAGGAGGTTGCGAGAGCAGGCTGATGATTTGTCGCAAAAAGTGAAAGAACTTGGATCATTTTTGAAAGACATTAGAATGCGAATAGAATAGAAGATTAAAGGCGTTTACTAGACTTGGATCATCCTCTCTTTTTTCCTCTCTACCCGATAGTCGTGCTCTTGCATACAGCGTTGCTCTAATATATTTCGTGTTCTTTATGCATTTGTTATTGTAAATAGAAGCATTTTCGCAGAAATAGCGTCCTGCAATCGCTAAATGTCTTTCTTTTAAACTAACACAGCTATTACCAAGGTACTATTGTATAATGCGATACAGGCGTACAAATTGTGCATGTGTCGTACCAAAGTTTAATTTTTACAACATATGGTAAAACAATACACAAATTAAAAAATATTACAGTACATTCTTTTCTTTACATATACATGTACATATCAGTACATTACGCTAAAAAAGAGTACATTATTCTTTAAAGTTAGTAACTCTTATTATATCTTTAATTTGTCTATCCAAAATATTTTATGTATTATCCAATAATACCTTTATTATTACACTTCTTCGTCAATTTTACCATTAGGAAAACAAAGTTCTTCCCAATACATACAGTTTTAGCATCAATCGTTAGCATCAACTATTTCACTAGGAAATACAGCCTTCAAAAATCTGTGCCATTAATCATTGTGTATAAACAATATAAGAATTTATACACATATTTTTTTACTAATAAAGATTATCGAATTACAATAGTCAAATTCACTTTCTAGTCTTTAACCAGTATTTCATCTTACATTGCATATACATTTGTATCCATAAAGAGTAAAAATTTAATTTAATAAAGCATATAAAAGAGAATGATACAAAATAGCGTAAGTATTTTAATTGTACATAAGTGAATTAAAATATGCTAAAATAAAGAAATCTAAATAAAAATTTGAAATCAAGATCCTTACATTACATTTAAATCTACAGACGAAGCAGAATTATTTGCGTTTATCATTAATGCATTATGTAGATACACAATATATAAGGATTCTGATAGCTATTACACACACACACACACACACACACACACACACACACACACACACACACACACACGCGACGAC